GATGACCCGATGGGCCCCTGCAGTCATCCGAGGGCCCCCGATTTCCTGGGCCCCTGGTCGCCTAGGCTACCAGGTCGCATGGGCCCCTGATTGCCTGGGGTCCCTAGTCGCCTAGGGGGCCCTGGTAGCCTGGTCGCATGGGGCCCCTGATCGCCTGGGGCCCCTAGTCGCCAAGGGGGCCCCTGGTAGCGGGGCCTGGTCGCATGGGGGCCCCTGGTTGCGTGGGACCTCTGAGGGCCCCTGGTTACCTGGGGGCCCCTGGTCGCCTAGGCGGCCTGGGGGCCCCCGGGTGACCTAAGGGCCCCTTCGGAAGCAGGTGGCCCCCTCCTGGGCGAAATCCTGGGTACGTGCCTGTCAGCAGACTTCGCAATGCCTAACATGAAATCAGGAAACCACGCCTACTCTAATAATTCTCGTCTGGCGTCCCCCTCACCAAATCTGAGCCATCAGTCCAGCCACGTTACCCAAGAGTCACCTTATCCTCTGACCCATCTACACACCATATTCTTACCGTGTCAGTGACACTGGTGTCATTGTACCCCTGAAAGGCGTGCCGCGTGGTTTACTCAAGGACAGCCACCTCTTGGAAATCACAGTTATCAGTTCTCTGACTGCACGCCAGCACATGGGACGGTGAAAGGCAAGGAGATGAGCTATCTTTTCGCCCTTTTCTTGGGTGAAGCGTGGATGGGGCGCTAATGAGAATCAACGTCTCAACGAGGACAAGACGATAAAATGCATGGAGTGATTTTTAATGAGTGGGCCGGAAATTATTACTCGAGACGCAAAGTCTTAAACTTTTAAGGATTGACCTCTGTATACCGAAGTCAGAGGTCTTTAGGTGGTATACAGACAGGTGCAGGTGGTCTTGGTGCTATGCAGAGCCGGTCTATGTAGCTTTGTCTTTTTTATACGGGCTGAATCGAGGGTGAAATAGACTGTCTTGACGGTTACCTATTACCCTACTCTCCATCCACCATTATCTTTGTGGACCCGCCTAAAGAGTTTATTCACACACATGCAAGTAGGTATGTGACAATAAGAACAAGATCGACATGCGACATGCACTGCGGTTCTGGAATCTCTCCCACTCCCCGGCTGTTCCTAACCGTGAGCCCCCCCCCCCCCCCATCTACCTCTGATACTAGGTCGGGTCGTGCATTCCCATGGCTCGGAATGCTCTTATGGCAGTTTGTCTGACCAGCCGATGTTCAGGTGTTGTGTAACCACGGCCTAGAATTGCCACGGTGGCAGCGAGCGGTTTGTTTTTGTGTGCGTCAAAACAAGCCTGTAATGAGTGCCTGCTCTGAGTGGTTTTGTAGTGGTCAGGTTTGAGTTATTGAATTTGACGGTAGTGGTTGGTTATTGAAGGCCTTCTGTCGGAACAGTGTGACCGATTCCTGCAACCATAGCTGCAACACACCAAGGAGACATCAATGGGAGAGTTCAGATTTTTACGCGATCAATAAGAGCAATGAGTTGCAGTGCAGTACCTACCTAATGGCAATTTGAACATTACTTTGAAATTAAAAATACCCTCATGCACGCCATTATTTATCTTATGTAAAAATGAATGAATATAAAAATGCAATAATTTATTTCAGCTTTGCATCTTTTTAACTAACATCGGCTAAAATCACTATTCGTTTTTAACTTTTTCCATTAACCACGATTCCTCCCTGACCACCTTATCGGAACTCAGAGAAAGCCAGGGCATCTCCCCAGTCTGTCGGCTAAATTGAGTCACTGTACGTGAAGACGCACAGTGACAATAGGTAAACACTTTCAATAGATACTTTAAAAAATCAAAATAAATATAATAATAAATATATATACCTAATAAAAAAATATGTAATAAATTTCAATAAATACTTAAAAAATATGAGCAGGTTGACTCGACAGTTGAAGATGAAGATGTGAACGTAGACTGAGAAATATTGTGGCAGATTTATCGTAGTCGTGAATCAAGGCCATCTAAACAATAGATATTTCGTATAAAGTTATCAACTACACAGCTCCAAGTTACAATAATACCCACAGCTGGCACCACAACGGTGCCAGACCAACTATCATTGGTGACATCTGTCATATATGTCTCCAATAATCTGTGGATAACAGACACATTGGTCCAGGCCGGGCCATAACGGACTCGGACTGTAGTAACATGGCCGCAGTGTTGTCGTTTGCTGTCGCAGTCATCGCGTGTTCTAGTTCGAACGCCAACTGGCCTGTAATACAGCCACAATATGAGCCGTGGTCTTGTTACGTCAGCACCGAGGCTGTCCAAAGAAGGTCATATTGCCGCAACGCACGCGTTTTGTTCATGTGAGGAGTTTGTGGTTGGTTAGGAGGAGTTGGGTAATATGTTTGGTGTTTACTTAACCCGCGCCCTGCTGGGGGTGTTTGAACACCCCCCCTTGTGGTTTTTCGCAAATATCTCAAAAACGGCGGCGCGGAGCGCCGCCGTTTTTGGTACACCTTATCATACATCAATTCTACACATGTTGTGAAAATTTCAGACCAAGGTCATTCAAGGTCAGGTCACCAGGTCACTTGAAGTGACCTCACCTCATAAAAAGTTTCAATTTCTGTCATAGCTACACCGAGTGACCGATCGCTTTGAAACTTTCAGCGATTGCTAAGAGCAATAGCATGTACAAAATGTATATCTCAGAATTTTGATATCGATGACCTAAGGTCAGGTCAATTTTGCGACCTCCCCATTATAAGTCAATGGGAGAAAATTGAAATGCGCCTCTTTTGAACGAAAGACATTATAAACACTCCCAAACACTGAATTACAAGTGGTTTAGACACACTGAACATGAAAATGGTGTCCGTGACCCCTGTTTATGCCCTGAGGTCATCTTAGGTCACGAATGGTATCTAACGGTTTTTCGCAAATAACTTTTGATAGAGGCATACTAGAGCAATGAAAACGCCTTAGATGTGTTCAGCTCGAAGATACGGATCGACTGATATGCAACATGACCCTTTCCGGTCAGGTCATGACCTTGACCTGAGGTCAAATTTTCAAGTTGACCTTTCAAGGTCAAGTCATAGTTCGTTCGATGCGTCTTGACGAGAGGAACACGATGCCGGTAAAAGTAAGCTCGTACAAGGCTTGGGTCAAATGTTATTGCAGAAAAACTGTTTCCGAAAAAATCGGCTATTTTTGCAGTTTTTGCCCCCTGCAGGCAAAACCGTTGACGTTAGGTCAAATCTGAGAGAATTACTCAGAAAGGGCGTTAATAGGGCTATCGAATGCGCTTTTCCGCGGCGCTGTAGCTCTATTGGTTCCCGAGTTATGCGTTGGCTTCCTGGAAATTGTCGACATTCGACCTGGAAATCGGCGAAATTTTGCCTTCAATGACCTCTGGTGTCCTGACCTTTGACCTGACTAAAAAATTGACCGAAGTGATTTCCTCATTATTTTTGACGCTCTTTCGAACGCCGCCTTCCGCGTATCGCTACGTGGCCCAGGAGCCGAGTTAGAAGGGGGGTGTTCAAACACCCCCCCCCCCCCCAGCAGGGCGTGGAAATCCAGGACCCCCAGCCGGGCGCGGGTTAAGGTCACGTCAATGAGGCAGGCAGCCGCCGCCCGTACCACCTCCCGTACCACGTCCCGCTGCCGTCCGTACCACGTCCCACTCCCGTACCACCTCCCGTACTACGTCCCGTACCACGTCCCGTACCACGTCCCGTACCACCTTCGGTACCGCCTCCCGCCGCCGCCCGTACCACGTCCCACTTCCGTACCACCTCCCGTACTACGTCCCGTACCACCTCCCGTACTACGTCCCGTACCACGTCCCGTACCACGTCCCGTACCATCTCCCGTCCCACTCCCGTACCACCTCCCGTCCCACGTCCCGTACCACCTTCGGTACCGCCTCCCGCCGCCGTCCGTACCACGTCCCGTACCACGTCCCGTACCATCTCCCGTCCCACTCCCGTACCACGTCCCGCCGCCGGTACCACCTCGCGCCGCCGCCCGGGGCGTCTCCAAGCCACTGACCCCGAATTTCACTAGCCCACTTCCAGTGGGCTCGACGTCGCACCGGCGATCCGGGCCGTCTGGCAACCGCCCGCCAGTCATCTGGCAACTCGAGCTTGGCGTCGCGGGTTGGGCGGGGCATGACATGCCAAGAAGTGACTTTGACGAAATAGCCTCATGACTCATCAAGCATCAAGAAAATACATATGTACATAACAAAATATGAAAACCACAGACCACTTTGATATTGCACGATTGTTCCAGAGTTGGTCTGTAACATAATATGTCCTTAATACCGCATAGAAAGTACCTTAGATTGGACGAGAATAACGCAAACGTGTGACGTCATGCTCTGCGCGTGAGTCCGACGATGCCCGGAGGGCATGGATAGAAATATGTACGCCAGGGGCCACTGACGACCTTCTGTGCAGTGTGCAGTGCACTCTCAGAACTCCAGTGAAAAGAAGCCGTTGGCAATGTTCTGCAATCGGAATGACGCTCTTCTGCAACAAGAAATCACTTGGGTGGTCCCGTGTTTGAACTACCTGCAATGGGGAATGATGAAGACAGTTCCCAGCCCAGGCTGTTCTCCAGAATTTGCAATATAGCGCCTCAGTAGATTTCGTCATTTTTGAACGGTTTGCTGGTTCACAAAGAGCAAGAAACTCACATGATTATGACGAATAATTGTTGTTAAGCATGTTGCAACTGTGAAAAACGCACAAAATCACATACGAGGGCTAGCAGAATCATGGGGAAAACGTTTAGGTGAGTCAACGAATCCTACAAAGTTGTACTTATATAAACTTCTCCGATCTTAGGTAGCGTAGGAAAAATAAGAAAGAATCTTCGATTTTTAGAATCCCGGTAGTATCAACCCTTTGACTCTGCTGGTAACCAAAGATGTGTGTTCAATGGTTACATACAGCATTTGCGACAAATTGTTCACTGTTCAGTGATATGTATCACAGCTGTAGAAACTGGTTCGATGTGATGGTCTCACCTGTTATTTGTTGTGCTGTCGATGGCTAGCAGCGTCTAATAAATTGTTGTCCGTTTCGCGCGCAGCTTTCTACCCATTTTTCAGCCGCCAATTGCCTGGGCGTGTTCCTCGCTGGAAAAGAGAACCAACTGTCATATTAAGTACACGCTACATGACATTGACCGAGTATTCAAATAGGGTAGATTGTGGGAAAGCGACGACTGAAATCCAGGCGGAAATTGACGCGAGGTGCAGCCCCGGGCTGCTGCACAAATGAATGCGCGTATTGAAATTGATTCGTTCATCCCATCTGCTCGTCTTCTTGGCTGTGAAAAACACGCTCCGTTCCTAAGAGTGGTTTACCATAACATCACATCGTACCGTATGACATCGCGGTAACAGTTCCATAAAAACCTGCGTTTATCGCCCCTCTCCTTCCTAAGGTCCTCTGCATCCCAACATCAGGAGTGTGCGACGCTCATAAGTCGTCAGTCGTCTCTTGTCAGTCCAGTCCTTCCTCATCACTCGTCACGGTCTTTCGCCACGTCGGTGCTAACCGGACGTTCGATCGGGAGCACCTCAATCCTCCAGCGGGGCCAGGTCAGCGACCAGGCCACTCCTCAAACTCCATCCGTCGCCTCCCTAAACCTACCGAGGTGCCTCCGCGCCGTAAACCGGCTTGAGCGAGCCCCGCGCGCGTGGCCAGCGCCTCAGGCCAGAAGAAAGTCGTTCCCTCGACGCCAGCGGGTGCCAGCGAGAGATGAGATTGATTTGAGGTTCTGGCTGCACCGCGGAGAGGGATGAACGGGCTAGGTGACCTCGCAATGTCGCGTGGAGGGAGGAAGAGAAGGCGAAAGGGGAGGGCGGAGGGGAGCTTACTCTCACTCAGCAGTAAGTATGTAGTTATGCATTATACAGTATAATGCAGCATGGCAGGAGTGGTACAGCAACGGGGACCGTAGCAAAAGTGATAGTGATGAATGACGCATTGGTGCGCTGTGGGTTGCAGGTAAGTACACGCTGTTTATTAGATTGGTATATACTATAATTCGTCATTGTGGGTTACATTTGATGCGGGGAAGGGGGCCAGGAGCACATGCTTACTGTCCACTTGTGAAGTGTGCAGTGTGCATTGTGCACACTGCACAGCTTACATGTTGTGGTTATATTTACTGCCGAACTATACATACGAGGACATCGTCTTGTCTGAGCTTTTTAGTGCTATACAGAGCTGCAGGAAATAAGAAAAAGTAGATGCATGGTTATATAAATGCAACAATTTTGATTTCTTTGGAAGTAAATCGCTAAAAGTCCGCTCAACGAAAGTGTTGGCTAGAACACAAATAAACCGGGTTTCAATTCTGCCACAACAGAAAGTCAGAGTTCATACCAAGCACCTACCCGCTCAAACCTCGCCAGTTGCATGAATAAGTCATTCACTCTCACTGCCTCCTTGCATATGAGAATCCTCGCCATGACATGCTAATTCGCGGCTCTCTCGTGTGTCGAGCTACCATGTGTGTCACGTTCTCAGGTGTTCCCAGGTGAGCCAGAGTTCATTTCTGTGTTGGTTTCTCCCATCGACGTGTAGGCCTCCAAAGGCATCGGAATGAAACCATCAATCTCACTATTTAAATTTCTAACAACCAAACTTCTGAGAGTTTCCGAGAGTGATAGGGTGGGTGTCTCTAAGATTAGACGGCTGAATTTTTGTTGCCCTATCTTTGAGAGGTGTCCATGTGGTCAATTTGCACAGGACATGCTCAAGTTGTGATTCATTGTAAAGAGCGATTAATAATCTTCCAGACGACGCAATATCAGATAGTATTTCAGTGTAGACTTTGTTTGGTTTCTACGACAAATTTCAATATTTCTGTTTTTCTCACAGACAATGACAATACAAAAACAATGTAATAAGACCATTACATTGTATTGTCATTGTCTGTGAGAAAAACAAAATGTCTGACTCTTCAATATTTCTCTTATGTTCTCGGCTGCATCTACGCATTTTTGTTGCCTCAACCAGATTTTTTTTTTTTTTTTGTTCCGAAGCACGTACAATTTTTATGCCGTCACTGAAGAACTTGATGATGCAACAGCAAGCATGAACATCATTATTAACAAGTTGTTGTACTGTATGTTGTGCAAGGTTGATAGTTTGCCACTTAATGTTACGGTCAAACTGGTTAGTGAGAGTTAGTCGGATGAGGAAGTGGAGGCTGCCAAGGACATTTTATGCCATCACGTGGACGAGTCTGTGCAAGAGTGGGAACCAGACTGAGACGTGGTCAGAATAAGAAAAAGATGTATATTGAGGGCATTATGAAAATGATTTTGAATGTGACAGAGGAAATCGTCCCAAGTTCGTTGCACTCGATTTGGCCAGACTCCCTCCGATCACCGTGGATAGCATTGATGTAAGCTCTCTTATGCACAAGCAGTAGGTAGCTGATGGATGTTGCTGCACGATGAAGCACATGATCCATGATATCTTGAAGGTCAAGGTTGATACCTCCAACATGTAGAGGATGCAATCTGGAAGCTTCCTGTAGAGAACACGTGCAAGGGGACGGTGGATGCCACAATACAGTGTTCTGCTGAGCCGACCCCCATGACAACTGCTCCGAAACAACTGAAATCGCACGCTGATGCTGTTCAGGACGTGAATGTGATCCCCTCCGGTGACGAAGAAGGCTGGTCCACTGCGAATCGGTCCAAGAGAGGCACTCCCAAGAAGAGAGGAAGTCCACCAAACAGGACCCGTGTGCCGTGTTAATGCCAGTGCACCCGGCTGCTCCTTCTGCTGTTAGGCGCAGTTGCGGCTGTCAATCCAACTCATTAATCCAGCGCCGTGATAGTCCCGACCCCCGAGAGCGATTTGAGTGTCGCGAATCTCCGCACTCTGTCACAGATGACCGGCCTTTACCTCAGCAGGTGTTAGCTCGAAAAAAGTTAGCGGCAGGTGTTTCAGAGATTTCTGCTTTTCCCTGCTCTTCTTTGATGACCATCAAGCGTGGCGGCCATCATTACGAGATGTTTTCTTCCAGGCGACCAGAGTTTCAAGTTTTCAGTATGACCAAGCGAAATATGATGAATGAGAGCTATAGTATGTAATATTATTCTAGGATATACAATACATGTCACGAGGAAGTATATTTGTTAGTTATTTAGTTTATTTTTGACTTCGCCTTTCAATGGCCACTGCCTGTTGGTGATGCTGTGAAATAAACAAATAAAGAAACAAATTATCGAAAAATCACTTCTTCGCTCCCTGCATTATCTGAGTCTCAGTGTTGCGTTCTACGCCAGACAGTTGACTGACCTCCCTCTCTCGCCCAACACTTCTCTCTGGCCAGCGCTCATCACGTCACGTCACCAAACTGCTACGTCACGTCCGATCACGTCTGGGACGCACCAGTCACGCCGCACGCGCGCAGCTGCTCGATTTTCTCGGGCTGCGCGAGATTTTGAGTCGACTCATCGCGACGCCAAATCTGCCAAATGGGAGCTGAGTACCTACTGAACGCTCTAGTAATATGTAATGTCAGTCGGGATGCCAACAAATTTGTTTTTTTGTGTGTGTGGCTTTTGAGGACATTTTAGCTTGGTGCCTACTCTGACATCGCGTCGGTCTGTTCGTCGTCCCTTCTCACATCACGCGTCGGTCCGCCAGTCGTTTGGCCCGTCTGTCGGTCGTTCGACAGGTGGGACGGTCAAGGGATGATCGGTGGACGGTCAGTCCCTGGGAGTACCCCTATATCACATGTCCGTGTGCGCCTTCCTAGGTGTTCCTAGTCTCTGGTGCCTGACTGGGCGTCCAGCAAGTCCAAGTGAGCCACACCACGCTTGGTCAATGTGAAGTGTGAACCATCCTTTAGCCGTTCCCAGTCCCTGGTCCGTCTGACCAGGGCTGCCAGCCGGGCAGGTCCATGTGAGCCACGCCATGCTTGGTTCATGTGAACCGGCCAGTGGCAGTGACCGAGAGTCGTCACACTTTCACCGGCCGTCTCCAGCGCCTGGGGCGCCGGTCAGCCCGGCCCGGGCCGGCTGTGTGCCCACCAGGTGTCCCGGCGCGGACACCCACATGGGACTGGGACACACCTTGTCCCGTCCCACCTGGGACTGGGACACATGCCCTGTCCCGTCCCACTCCGTCCTCGGTATGTTCGGACTATTGCGTGAGAATGGTTCGTGGGCTGGTTTCAGTTGACTTCAGACGGAACAGGCGAGCCTTGGGAGGATGTTTGGGCCTTACAAACAATCGAGTCTTTCCTGACTACCACATGCATCGGAGAAATTCCACGAGACAGTATGTCACATACCATGCCATCAATTGGCCGCCAATAATTGTCTGCGGCAGCCTCGTGGGACGGAAGCTCTGGCTCGTCGCGAACAGTTCTCAGCTCCGCAGTGCGGCGGCAGCTCCGCGTGGGAAGCACGTGGCCTTGTTAGCAGCGCCAGGAAATTTCTCCGCGGCTCGTTTGAGAAATCAGAAATCGACTTGGCTATTTAGCACAAGCGGTGAAGCGTCTGGTTTTGTGTTTGGGAACCAATTTAGCACCCAAAAAGCTTCCCAAGGACGCAATAAAGGGTGCTGGATGATTTGGTAAAACGTCTGTTATTGCGTAAAGGACGTTATAGACATAGTGCATATTTTAGTCAACCTTCAAGTCCGTGAAATATGTTATGATGTTGATATTGAGTCAACCATGGAGGCGAGGCCATATATTTCAAGCTCTTTTTAGGCCATTTGTAAGGTTGCAACAAGCCGCTACAATTCGCGAAATTCACTCGACAATCACACATGACTTACTATACCTATTTGTAGTTTTGTGCTCATCTCTCGCAGATCGATTTTTTAAACCGTTTGTTTTTTAAGAAAAATTTCCTTGCACCGTATTCGAATTGCCAAAACCAATACAATTCCTCCTCGAGGCTCGAGCCGTTTCATATCCCGGCACTCAGCCGAAGTATCTTCGCCAGGATGTAGCCAGCGCCGACAGTGGACGCGCATCACCACCGCTCCGGAGAAAGTGGTCAGCTCGTCTCTGCCGGCCACCGACTGCCCTCAGGGTGGCAGCGGGAGGGCGGGGATGAGACCATCAGTCGCAGTGGAGCGTCCGGTAGGGTGT